TATTAACAATTAGATAATTTGCAATCTCTTTGAGAAGTATCTAAGTTACTGTAATTATACTATGTATACGTTCGCGTTTGTCTTCGTACTTTGTTTAAATGCAACGTTCTTATGAAACATATAATTTAACAGAGAATATCAAAGTACATATACATATATCGTTTTTAACCAGCTAGCTGTGACGAGTACGACGAGTATACTCGTCAGAAACAGCTTGTTTATTAACTTAATTAATTGAAACTGCTATCTTCAATATCTCGCTAAATTTTCATCGCAGGAAAAAATGTCATCAGAGGGAAACATTATTTCGTTTGGCATTATTTATTTTCACCTGAAAACTGTGTAAGTGTACAACTGATCGCGTTTGAATTTTCAAATTATTTTCACTTTTTAACACAATCGACATATAGATCCTTTTAATCAGATTTCTTACAGTTTTTGAGGGGATTTTGTATGTATCATGCAGTTCGTTTCAATTCCACAATAATATTGAAACGCTGTTTACAACGAAATAACTTTTTCGAGATTGAATCGAATTGTTTGAACGTTTTTTTAGATGTTAGACGAAATAGTTCACTAGTTCACTACACAAAATTGGACAAATATTTGCGAAAGAAAAAACTGAAATTGTTTCGAATGTAAAACAGAATAAAATATAATGTTTTCGAATCTTTTTATCCGAGTTACCGATTGTCGCAACTATAAAAACGAGCTGCACAATCTGAGCGTTAATTCGAACGAATTTATTGTACAGCGCGTGTTTCTGGACATTATTCTCTTCCCAAATTGTCCACCTTTGTGCACAGTCTGAGCGTCAATTAGGGAGACATTACTGTGCCGCGACATCTTAAAATGATATATCTCGTAAGTTTAACGAATCTGTTCGACGTTCATGTAATATTTAAAAGTCTTTTTTTGTGTCTTTCTTAAATGCTTCAGACTTGATAGGTGTGTGCATAAACTTCTAGCAAGAATGGTTAAGATGAGTGTAGAGTGGTGCATGGATCAGATCCAGAAAGGCATGAACAGTAATAATATTTGTAATCCGAAGGAAGCATTTTTATGCTACGTTTCAAAATTCAGACCTTTGCATCGAATACAAGAACATCAAATAGGACATCGACATGTTGCATACCTGAAAGGAATCGGACGATTAAATCTCGGAAAACAACTGAATCGTGTACGAATGAAACGTGAACGGGGTGCTCGTTTTTTTGTACATTACCGTAGTAAAACCTAGGAACGAGGGCTGAAACATTTTCGCAAGCGTGACCATGCAAGATTTCATGCTTCTTCTCAGTATTAAAATGATTAGCTTCTGTGCTGGCACAGGCATCGAGTACCACTGCGTATCGTATCTACAAAAATTCACAGAATTCAGAATTCCGTACAAAATATTCATTTCCTCGAAAGTTCATGTAACGTGCTAATGTAATTGCTTCTATCTAGATCGAACGATTTTTTAATAGCAGTTTGACACTGTTTAATGTCGACATCGAAGTTGAGTTCTTACAACGAAATTAAATGATCGCGACCATTAATTGATAATTACGAGATCGATCAAATTGAATTAAATGAACTTCATCTGCGCGTTTATTTAGTGAATAAAACGAATACATTTTAATTTACTACGTACGATGTAAAACCAAGACCGATTAAAGCCAGAAAATAAAGACATATCTTATAATAGTTACACGGTTTTTTTTCGCTCTTCATAACCGATTTAGTCAGAATCTCGATATACAGTAAATTCTCTCCAATTGTTACTCAACGTGTACAGCAAATTTTTCGCCCCTAAATCGCGCTCAGATTGTGCAGAAAAATATGAACGATTTGGGAAGAGGAGATACGATTATTCGGGCCTTGTCAACAACTAACATTAGGTTAACATTAATCCAACATCAAACATATTAAGCAAACAATTCTGATAATATTACCGGAGTCGCTTGAAGAAAATGTTTTAATACGCACGTTACTGTAAACATCTCGGAACTATGGTCAATCAACTGTTGCGAAATGAAGTTGCCGAAGTATAGGTAGCTGAATTGGAAAATTAAGGAATAAACTGCTACTAGAATGTCCCAAATATTTTTCGTCACTCTTATAGCCTGAGAGAACTGAAGAAATATAATATGCTGAATTAAAAACGTGCATGCCACCGAATCACAGCAGTAACGTATCATAAGTGCATAATCCCTCTTTACAATTATATCGATCAGATATTAACACGTTCCGTGCCACGTGTACCATCGATGGTACACGCTTGCATGTTTACTTAGTGAACTGAACAAATTGTTTACAAGAAATTTAGAACCGAAGAATCAATTTCCACCGCAAGAATGGTCGTTGATAAGTTTTTGTTACGTTGTTATGTGTACGAGAATTAATATATAATTGCACGTAATACATCAAGTTTTAGTAAAATATCAAAGTGTGAAGATTCGAGTAAAAAAAGCTCGGCACGGAAAGTGTTAATGGCGCGATTAACGTTCATCGTAAAAATTACGTATCTATACATATTATTGAAAGATGTATGGCTGCAATACTCGATTATATTGCAGTGATATATCCTACGACAGGGCTCGGAATTAACCGGCACGCAGCACGAGGAGCGCGAGAGCCACGCCTCCCGACTCCCGTCGCGCGTCTCGCTCCCCGCTGGTCGCCTAAATGCTACACGCACGCATATAAAGCAACAGGCACACCCGCCTGAGCTGCTCTGAGCCGAAAGAAGCGATCACGGAGAGCGAGACGGGAATCAGTGGGCGTGGCCCTCGCGATCCTCACGTTGCATGCTGGTTAATTCCGAGCCATGTTGTAGGATATGTCACTGCACTATAAACGAGTATTGCTGCCATACTGTACACATAACATTGAAATACGAAGCACAGGTAATCCTCGTATAACAGGGTAATTAAAAATTAACAAAAGAGTATAAAGGGTAAAAGAAAAATTAGGATCATCTACATGATCTAGATACTAGACTCTTTTATCTGAAGGATTTTTAAAAATAATAACCTAACAGCCAAAACATTCTATTATCGAATAATTTCATTCTAGTTCTCTACTAAGTGATAATAATAATAAAATAAAATTTCAATAATGCAACGTTTAAATAATAGAACGTTTGAGTGCCGAAAAATATTGTAAACATAAATATTCGGATAAAGGAGTCTCTATTCTATTATTATTTTCGACACAGTAAATTCGTTGACATTCTATTAACCACTAAGAATGTCTATTGTACTCTAAGATCGTATAATAATAATAATAATAATAATAATAATAATAATAATAATAATAATAATTTTTATTAGAAATAATACTTCATAACAACGAAGCTCAGTCTATTCTTGTTAAAATTTATCCCTGAAAAGGCATCGCTGTCCTTATTTTACGAGGATTGCCCGTAGACGATTATTACAACGATTAAGTTGCAAATATTTTGAAAAATAATTGGCGAGTTACTCACACTATATATAGTCATTATTATCCAGCTCACACCGGATGCAAGGAAAACAAAGGAGTATACCGAGTATATTTCCTGTTGGATATCAGCGAACCTTCCAAAATGAATGATTATTTAGAAGTTATTTACGATTCAATCCGAACGATTGTTAAACATTAATTTATAAACGAATGTTTCTTCATACTGACGCAATAGCTCCTTGATGGGTCAACACCGCGTTGATGAATCTCGTACGAAATAAAAATTTCTCTTTCGTGCTGACCGCGCGTTGCAGACGGTAGCTACGAGAAGAATGTTTCGCATGTATGATTGCAAGATTCTTGAGTGTATTGTGCGTTCAACGAGAACTGGCACAAAATGTAAACAGAACGTTCACGTGATCGGTGTTGTGGTTGCCGATTGCAAGCGGCTGCTGGACTACGATGCTCAGGGACGAATTTTAGTGGACCCTCGTCGGGGACCCTCGAATGCAGAGGGTGGCCCGTTAAATTGCCCTAGCTCGATCATGCGTTGCTCACATATATATTTTATGCTATATATATTTTTATGCTATATTTTATGTTTATATTTTATGCTAGTTCTCGTTGCACGAAGTATAGACTGTGAATTTTAATCTAAAATAAAAATTAAGCGAATTGCAAGGAACGTTTTACCTTATCCACAGGTGAATTATGAAATAAATATTTTATTTTGATAATTAAAAACACAAAATAAAATAGCTTTTATTTGAGTAACATAGAACGCAGAAACAAATGGAATTTATTGTCTTATAACGTAGAGGAAAAGTAGATGCTTCGTTTTAGATTGTCGAAATAAATTTTGTGCTAGTAAAAATAAAAATTATCTTATTCGATAATGATAATAAATAAAATAAATAAAATACTCTCCGAACTATGGCACAAATATTTTCAGTGTTTGTCAAAATAAAATACCATTCGAAATATTATCTTAAAAATTTGTTAGAACACATGGAACGTTTTATGTTTAAAACGTTGCATTCTTTCGAGCAAGTAAAATATTTTGTTTTCGAGATAAAATTAATATTTTCGTTGACGCTCGCATCATTATTCTTGAGGAGTATGGAAGGGTCAATATAGTAAATTAAGGAAGAGAAAAAGATGAACCGAGATCTCTGCGAGGAATATTGACTTAAAAAAAAAATCATTTCAACTAGTAATTAGTGCAAAGTGGATTTTTTAACATATAGAATTTAGGCATCAGTTTGCAAGACGGAGAATCTTACCCAGCTATTTTGAACATGGCACAGTTGTGCATTATAAACATAACGTATGATCCATCGGTAACTATTATTAGCGTAATTCCCACGACGGCAACGACAGACACAAAAAGATTGATCGGTACGAAGTGCTCAGCCGGATCGATGACGAAAAATTCGGCTAACATCATGAGTTCTCGGGGACGTGATTCGTTCAACGGCATCACGATATCAAGAATGATCGGCGTGTATCCATACGTTATTAGAGCTCCCCCAAATGGTACTGAGAATACTGTGATTTTCGAACGGTAGATTAATAAACACGAGTTTAACCCTTTGCACTCGAGTGGTGACTCCGAGGCACCACTAAAATTTGTTACATCACGTTTTGAGATAATTTTGATATTAACAAAGTTTAGATTCAAAAGATTGTTAAGAGTGTAACCGTTGCGTGGGCCCCAAGAGTCTGTGGCGTCGCATCGCTCGCCACTGCTCACCTGCTATCTGAGCGCGGCGGCTAGCAAAGCAAAACATCTGCCTTCCTAGTCCTCTAGCGGGTCTCGGACAAAACGTTTTCCCCTCTCTTCCCTGTTTCCCAAACATGGCGTCATAACCGCTACAAAGTACTATATATAAATTAAGTATAAATTAATATAATTAATAATTAATATATATATATTATTATATAATATTATATTATTATTATTATATATTATTATTATTACATATTATTATATAATATTATATTATTATTATTATATATTATTATATAATATTATATTATTATTATNAGAGAAAAAGATGAACCGAGATCTCTGCGAGGAATATTGACTTAAAAAAAAAATCATTTCAACTAGTAATTAGTGCAAAGTGGATTTTTTAACATATAGAATTTAGGCATCAGTTTGCAAGACGGAGAATCTTACCCAGCTATTTTGAACATGGCACAGTTGTGCATTATAAACATAACGTATGATCCATCGGTAACTATTATTAGCGTAATTCCCACGACGGCAACGACAGACACAAAAAGATTGATCGGTACGAAGTGCTCAGCCGGATCGATGACGAAAAATTCGGCTAACATCATGAGTTCTCGGGGACGTGATTCGTTCAACGGCATCACGATATCAAGAATGATCGGCGTGTATCCATACGTTATTAGAGCTCCCCCAAATGGTACTGAGAATACTGTGATTTTCGAACGGTAGATTAATAAACACGAGTTTAACCCTTTGCACTCGAGTGGTGACTCCGAGGCACCACTAAAATTTGTTACATCACGTTTTGAGATAATTTTGATATTAACAAAGTTTAGATTCAAAAGATTGTTAAGAGTGTAACCGTTGCGTGGGCCCCAAGAGTCTGTGGCGTCGCATCGCTCGCCACTGCTCACCTGCTATCTGAGCGCGGCGGCTAGCAAAGCAAAACATCTGCCTTCCTAGTCCTCTAGCGGGTCTCGGACAAAACGTTTTCCCCTCTCTTCCCTGTTTCCCAAACATGGCGTCATAACCGCTACAAAGTACTATATATAAATTAAGTATAAATTAATATAATTAATAATTAATATATATATATTATTATATAATATTATATTATTATTATTATATATTATTATTATTACATATTATTATATAATATTATATTATTATTATTATATATTATTATATAATATTATATTATTATTATATATATATAATATTATATTATTATTATTATATATATATATATAATTAAGTATAAATTAATATAATTTAAGTATAAAGTACTATTCACGTAACAGTTGAATAAAGTTGCCTATATATATTTCTTGTTTTAGAACGTTGTTCGACTGTCACAACGGCCGTGGATAGTACTTTTTGGCAGTTATGACGCCACATTTGGAAAACAGGGAAGAAAGCGGGAAACGTTTCGTCCGGGACTCGCTAGAGTACAAGGGAAGGCAGATGTTTCACTTTGCTAGCCGCCGCGCTCTCAGGTAGCGGATGAGCAGTGGCGAGCGATGCGACGCCACAAGTCAATTTCAAGTACGTAAAATGCATTTTGTCATATGAAATAAAAATACTGTAAGTTAAAAAAATGATTTTATATTTACAGTTAAAATAGTTTCGAGTGCAAAGGGTTAATAGAGGAACGACTGTAACGTCGAGAAAGCATTCGGTTTGAGGCGCTGCTTTCATTTTTCTCTTACATATATAAGCGTTCAGCAAGAATTTGCTGAATACGGTGTACTTATTTAACACGCTGTACTCGTCCATGTTTTCCAATGCGTTCCAGTCACCTTCGATGCGTGCAAACAAAAACTTCACCTAACAAATAGAAATCTCGTATTACGAACAATACATATAGCGGTTAGATAAAGCATTGGAACAAATTCTCCCTGATCGATGCTCAGATTGTACAGAAAAATGGACATTTTGGAGCGTCGATTAGGGAGACTTTATTGTATATACATCGCGTATTCGCTGCTGTTAACTTACTTTTCTCATTTCAACATACAACATTAGATATTTGTTGAATAATGATATAGTGGCATTAATGAATAACCACGTTTTAGATATCTCTTGTAAACTGTATCTAGTCATACACAATGCGGCCACCTAAAATTGTGTTAATAATAAATCACTTAATAAATAAATAAATAGATGAAGAAAATAATAAATAAAAAAATAGATAAAATCACTTAATAAATAAATAGATGAAAAAAATAATAAATAAAAAAATAGATAAAATCAGTTAATACAGTGAATACATTCCTGATACAGAAATGCCTAACAGTAACGACATCATAATTTAGTTACGAATAAACAGGATAGCACACTTTAATATTAATGTAATTTTTACTTAACATTGCAACTATGGTTTTGTTTTTATAGAATCTTGCAAAATACCACTAGAAACATACAGAATTGCATTTCGCCGGTCTAAACAATTTTATTTGAAAGAGAAGAATTTTTATGGAAATACAGTGGGACAAAATGATAGCATATTTCACTGAAAATTATGTTTAGCAATGAATCAAGGAATGAGTGGGGACAATTAGAGCAAGAAACTATTAAAAAAACTCTATAAATCTTTGCCAAAGATAACGGTGACTCTTAATAAATGTAAAGTAGGAGCCACAAAATGTTAATCATTAAATATCATTCGCTAATTCATTGCTAAACATAATTTTATAAATATATTAATATTTATATATATATATATATATATATATATATATATATATAATTTTGATATTAATATTTATACATGAATATACATAACAATATTTAATTTTAACAATTCTATTTCATTCGCGTATGTTTATAGTGGTATTTTCGTTGTAATGTTAAATAAATAAATCTTGGTTGTAATGTTAAATAAATAAAAACTACATTAATTTTCAAGCGTGCTATCTTTTTGTCCCACAGCGTAAATAAGGAATGCCAGTGCCTTCAGTCGCGCGAAACAAAAAGCAATCGTACTATTATTAATTTATTGTAACTGTTAAGAAGAGAGAGAACTCGAGAAGTAACGCAGAAAATTCTATTACGTAAGAAATAATCCGCAGTCATGTAATAATCGCAATTAATCGAAAATCGAATCTCTCGAATTTACCTGAAGAACTGTGCACATGAAGAAGCAATAAAGCATAGCCAGCCTCACAAGTATCTCCGGCGTTGTAGCCTCCGTGTTCCATAGCCTGAGAAACTTCAGGACAACATAATTGAGTTTATAGTAACGATAGCTTGTGACGTTCATCCTCGTTCGAAGGTTCGCCCGCGTCTGCGTCGAAACATTCGGCGATCCCTCCGCCTTACTGTCGCTTCTATTTCCTCGAGAAACATACCTCCCTCTGACGTATTCACGGAAATTCCGAATAAATTGCGGCGCAATTGTGCACCGTAGAAAAAAAGACAGTGACATATCGAACGGTCGAATTCCTGAAAAAAAATGTTACAAGCAACGCCGGCTTTAATACCGTCTTCGCATCCGGTCGGGGAATGGCCGTGGATTTTCGTGGCATTTCCTTAACTTCTTGATGCACGTTTTTCCTTCCGTGCGACCCCCGTTTTATGAATGTTTAATGTTCGCGGACGCGACCAGGCTGTGTACGTCCTCCACAGCTGAGAAAAAACTGTTAGTCTTGTTTCAACGGTTGCGCCACTAACATCTTGTCTTTTCGACAGTGCTTCGCGCCCGCCGACACTGAATAGTGATTATTCGGACTGAAAAGTGGACTGTAAAGTATTATTTTTAAATAATAAGAGCGACGAATATGTTCGGACGAACGTACAGTGGCCCACAGAAGTGATGGTAATAGCTTTTGAAACGCAACTCTTTTTCAACCGGTTAACTGTGTTCGACGAGCAGAATTCGTCGTGCGTAAAAATTAGTGACCTGTGGCCATTTAAATTGTAACTTTAGTGAGAACGAAAACATATTCACAAATTTCACGATGTTTAGAAGGTGTTTATATTGTTACTACATCTATTAATAATAAAGTGAGTATTTTCCTTCTAGTTATATTTCAGGATAAATAAAAATAATAGAAATTAATTTAGAAAAAAATCATGAGATAGATGACAAGCGGAATCGCATTGATAATATTAAATTTTATCAATGAGTAAACTGTCCTTTCTTTTTATTGTCTCAATTTAACAACTATAGCGTTTATTTAAATCTCTCATACAATTCTATAAAATATTATTATTTTCAGTTGTTAATATTATTGTTTAATGAACCTTTCATTCGCTAACGTCCTGTTATTCGAATACATAATTTATATATTTATATTATATTATAATATTATAATATTATTTTATTATTATTATATTATATTATTATTTTATTTATAATAATATTATAATATTAATTTATAATATCATATTATATTGTATTTATATATTTATAATTCGAATACACAATTCTTTTATAGGTTAGTGGAGCCGGTTACTGGGGCGACTAATTGCTGTGTCTCCGCTTTGTTCACAGGCACAATTAATCTTGTATTTATCGAATAAGCCATATTAAATTTTTCTATTCTTTTATTTTATTTATTTTTTAATAGAAAATATTTACTACGATGATAGTTGGTACAACAATGTTACTTAAGAGAACATTACAGAGAATTCCACAATGGGTCATGGGACTATCGATTTATTTCTAGAGGGTGCAAAAGTGAGCTATGGGGTAAGTAAGTTCTGTTCGAAGTAATCGATGCGCTGTCGCGTCAAAATCGATAAAGCTGCAACTTTCGATATTACCTGCGCACGGTGGTGAAGAATGCAACATGTTTTCACCAAAAATTCAATTTTTGAACATTTTCGACCGAGGGAAATGGCTTTTCTTACGAAGTTTCGATCAATCTCTTGAAGCTTCAAGATTTGAAACATTATCTCTCAAACGACTCTGCTATTAGATTCAGTGGTTTAAACATAAATTGCGAAATTGAAAGAAAAAATACACAACTATATTAATATACCAATATACAGCCATATTAATATATTAATATACAGCTATATTAATATATTAATATAAAATATTAATATCAAATGTGATCCTTAAAACGGTTTAAATTGAACTTTGTTAGATATCGATTTAATATTAATTCTGAAAGGACGTCATAAGCATTATTTATGATTCTTTTCAGATTTTATTTTAAAAAGCGATCCTTTTTTTTTATTAAAAAAAGGTAAGTTTGTTTTAATATAGTTATATTAATATATTAATATACAGCTATATTAATATATTAATATACAGCTATATTAATATATTAATATACATCTATATTAATATATTAGTATATAGCTATATTAATATATTAACATAAAATATTAATATCAAATGTGATCCTTACGGTTTAAATTGAACTTTGTTAGACATCGATTTAATATTAATTCTGAAAGGACGTCATAAGCATTATTAATGATTCACATTTCAGATTTTATTCTATAAAAAGCGATCCTTATTAAAAAAGAGTAAGTTTGTTTTTTACTTTTATGCATTTATTCTCGCACTTTGTAATATTAAACATTCCAACATTCGGAGGGGCAATGAAAAAACTTAAAAATTCAATCAAAAATGATCGGGGCTCTCCCGCCAATCCTGGATCAGGTCAACGCAAATCTCTGCGCTCCGCCGGAAGCCTTCCCTCCTTGTCTGCAGAACTAACTTGAACCCGGAGAACTAAGTTCACGGCGCAAAACACTTTTGTTCCGCGCTGTTTGTTGGAAAGAAGAACCGAGGGAGCTACGTGCAGTGAAATATTAATTTCGCCAGGAAAATTTTAATGGTGTCCCTTACAAGAACGCAAAGCTACCTCGGAGAAATCTTGGCCTTCTTAACGTCTGCTAATTATTCCCGCAACGAAATTCACATTTCTCTGGAAACTAATTTCGAGGGAACACCATACGCAAACATAATTTTCGAAATGAAGGAAGGGGACGACGATATGGAATATCGTGTCCTAAATTCCGAAATGAGTTAGATTTTAACGATGTTAACCCGTAAAAACGAACGCGTTTTATACATATATATTCTTACTACGAGACCGCCATTTTATACACGTATAAATATGTATACATAGTAAATTAGTAAATTAGTAAATATGTATACAGAGTAAATTAGTAAATTAGTAAATATGTATACATGGTAAATTAGTAAATTAGTAAATATGTATACATAGTAAATTAGTAAATTAGTAAATATGTATACATAGTAAATTAGTAAATTAGTAAATATGTATACATGGTAAATTAGTAAATTAGTAAATATGTATACATAGTAAATTAGTAAATTAGTAAATATGTATACATAGTAAATTAGTAAATTAGTAAATATGTATACATGGTAAATTAGTAAATTAGTAAATATGTATACATAGTAAATTAGTAAATTAGTAAATATGTATACATAGTAAATTAGTAAATTAGTAAATGTGTATACATAGTAAATTAGTAAATTAGTAAATATGTATACATGGTAAATTAGTAAATTAGTAAATATGTATACATAGTAAATTAGTAAATTAGTAAATATGTATACATAGTAAATTAGTAAATTAGTAAATATGTATACATAGTAAATTCTCTCTAATTGACGCTCAGCTTGGACATAAAAATGGACAATTCGAGAAGAGGAGATACGATTATTCGAGACTTGAATTGGGATACTTCCACTTCCGTGATTATGGGTTAATTACAATTCACGAGAAGCAAATCAATGTATTTAACAACGGTAAGTAGAATCACGTTTGTCTAAAATTTGTTCGAACTTGCATTCCATTGTTTCAACAACTCGAAACAGCTGATAATGTTAATATCACATTCTTAATACTACAATCCCTGGTAAAAAGTATTCGTCCACATTTCAAAATGCAATAACTTCTTCTCAATGACTTGAATTTTTTTAAAAATGTTAAAGGTACTAGTTTACTGTGCAATGGACAAAATACTTCTAGTTAATTTCGCTATTATTATACTTGGAACGAGACCAAAAAATAAGAAACACTTGTTCTTTAACTATTTTATTTGAACCTGGAACGAAAATTTAAAAATTGCGTTTCGTAGAGCTAGGATAAAATTATAAAAAATAACAATATAAAATAGTAAAATAAAATATAATATAAATATAAATATAAATATACATATAAAATAAAATAATAATATTAAATACAAATAATAAAATATATAATGATAATAATAAAATATAATAAAGTATAATAAAAAGAGTTAAAAAGCGAGTGCTTTTCATCTTTTGTTGTCACTTTACGTAATAGCAGAATTAACAACAAGTATGCTAGTCATTCTATCCCATAAACTAGTTCCATTAACACTTGAAAAAAGACTCAAGTCAATTAGACCAGTTCGAAAGAAGTAATTGGGTTTTAAAAGGCGATTAAATACTTTTTGCCAGGGGTTGTACAACGATCCCTTGCCTCATACGTGTACCACAGTCTATACTATTGCAGTGTATATAGATTACGTTTTCTCCGCTACCGTTATCAACGTGTTCTCACACTGAATGAAGCAACCGGTGCATAATGTACTATCAATTACGGTTGTCCCATACCTCCGCTACGCCTGTCGTCATTCCGATGCAAGCGACGGTATAATCGATTCGAAGTGTTCGCAGCCCATGGCAGTCATAACACGTTCTAGCAACACGTACCGCACGCCATTAAATAAACTTCGACAAGTAATTTCCCATTAAAAGTCGTTTATCACTTTCGAAACAATTGTTCTCTACAACACGGTAACGGGGACTTTTTAATAATCGAACGGCGGACCTTTCCAATCAAATGCAACCGGCTATACTTACGATCGTTTAGCCTTCTTATTTATAATTTTGTTTTCGTCAGCATAATTTTTATGGCATTCCTTCTAGACGCGTTAGTTTTTCTATGGGCTTTCTCTCTCTCTCTCTCCTTCTCTCTCTCTTTCTCTCCCTCCCTCCCTCCCTCTCTCTCTCTCTCTCTCTCTCTCTGTCTCCCTTCCTCCCTCCGTCTCTCTCTCTCTCTCTCTCCCTCTCTCTCCCTCTATATATATCTATCTATCTATCTATCTATCTATCTATCTCTATCTATCTATATATATATATATATATATATATATAGAGAGAGAGAGAGAGAGAGAGAGAGAGCGAGAGAGAGAGAGAGAGGGAGAGAGAGAGGGAGAGAGGGAGGGATATATATATAGGACACGCGTCGAAACACGAGAACATTGAAATTAGTTGTCAGATACTTGACGTGTTCGGATATCAATTTTTCCATTCTTTTATTTTATTTATTTTCTAATAGAAAATATTTACTATGTCTTATCCGATAAAGTTAATCGGGTCCGACCAGACCCCGTGTCCGCCGTTCGAACGTTAACTATCGGTTTGCTTCTCGCTCGCGTTGCGTCGATTCTTTCTGTTAGTTATTCTTTCAGATGAAGGAAGAGCATAAAAAGCGTCAGCATCGTATTGCACATCTAAAATGAAAGGAGACGCCGGTTACGCGACGCAGGACTCGATACGTGAATAATAATACGAGCGTGATCTCTTTTTACCGATGTGAACCCTTCGAACGATGACACGAAGATGCCCTTCTTACTGTACGTGCAGTGTTTCGTGGCTCGCTGTAAAATTAAGATGTAGAACTTTTGTATCTCGGGAGGGCACTCGTACCAGCTTGAGCAGTATCTAAAAGTTTCAAAAGCAAAGATTTCATTTTTCTGTCGTCGATTTGGAAACCGTCGGAAGTCGACGTTCTTTCATAAATTAATTTCAAACGATTGAAAAGTTTTGAATCGCAAAAATTTTGTAATTACGGAAATTGAGAAGATCGTAACGAATCCAATGAATCCTCTTGGACGTCACGTGAAGAAAACGACGGCTGTTGTACAGGCTGTCCCAAAATTATGGTATTTCCGGGACAAGAGCGATTCCTGAGGCCATTTGAAGTAACTTTTTCCTGTACAAAAATTTTCTCCGAGGCATCGTTTACGAGTTATCAACGAAAACCAGTGACCAATGAGAGGCAAGCTCGTCGCGCAAGCCTAGTTCCGCTGATTGGCTCGGCCGCCTCGCGTTAGCTGATCTCGCCTCTCATTGGTCACTATTTTTTCGTTAATATCTCGTAAACGAAGCCTCGGAGAAAATTTGTGTAAAGGAAAAAGTTGCTTCAAATGACCTCACGAACCTCTAATTTCCCAGAAATATCATAATTCTGGGACACCCTTATTGCCTCGTGTACCGCGAGAAAAGTATTAACATCGCATTGCGCGTTATTAATATTTATTTAACATTGACATACTTACGCATCGTAGAGAATATTAAAGCTATGATCGATCACTCTTTGCCCACAAATTGTTCCGAAAACTCCGTAAACGAGGAAAGAGGTGGCCACAAATATCGACATTGCTGCGAGTCCGAAATTCATCGCTCTTAGAGCATTGCACAGCTGCATAAACGATCGCATAACATTAACATGCACAACTTTCGATCAATTAGGTAACGATTCATAGGGAAATTGTAATAATAACGATTGCATTACGAACGCCATAATGTGCAATAGATAATTAGAAACGAGAAATACACGACGTTCCATTGTTAAAACAAAATTTCATTCTGCATTGAACGTTCGTTGCATTCCGCGTTCGTGCATTCCGCACACGACTTCTAAATCTACGAAATTGTAGTTTTGTATATTGTAAAAAGTTTCTTTGGAAAACGGTCCGATTGTTCGGTGCAGCTAGCGATATAAATATAATATTATAATATATATATAATATAAATATAATATTATAATATATATAATATAAATATAATATATATAACATATATAATATAAGTATATAATATATATAACATATATAATATAAATATAATATATATAACATATATAATATAAGTATAATATATATAACATATATAATATATAAATATAATAATATAGAGTAGCGATCATAAATTTAAGAGGAGGAATTCGAATCTCAGTTATACGCGCATTGTGTACCAGTATCTATTCATCTATTTTGTTTCGCTTCGAAATCTACAGTTAAATCTGAGAAATTTGGCTGGATTGAAACGAGGTTCACTCCGAGACGGAATCGAAATACAATCGCATTTTTTTCGTTTTTCTTTTTGGATGATTTGCGACGCGTGAGACGTCGTTCTCGAAACGATTTGCATCGAATTTTCCAATTGCTTCCCAATTCCTCTGTTTCTCTGATTTCGTCTTAATCTTTTTTTTTTATTTATTGTACGCGTCGATGATAGCGAAATCATACTGATACTCACGTTCAGCAGAGCCATGCTCAGCGCAGCAATGCCGGCAGGAATTACCACGTTGTAACTATAGCCGAAAGTATCCCACACGTTGTTCACGAACCTCCAACAAACATTACACGCTGAGGGGCTAATTCTATGAATAATGTGGTCGTCCATGTGGTGCATTAAATCCAAGAGTGTACCAACTTGATTGTCTTCACGTGCACGCGAACCGCCCAACATATTTTCGAACGGATTCTACCGTTTCGCTTCGACGTACAATCTTTCCCGAAACTTATCTCGTGCACGTGTTTCAACATTCGCCTGTTCAGAGAAAAGTCCCATGAATTGCTCGTCGAGCATAACCGCTGAATTAGAGGACCATGTCGAAAAGAAGACTCAACATTATGGTGCGCATAGTATTCGCCAAAAGATAGGACGATACGTAACACAGCGATGTCTCTCTAATTGACGCTCAGATTGTTCCCAAAAGTGGACAATTTGGGAAGAGGAGACACGATTATTCAATCCTTGCGGTTCATTTTTATAGTCACGAATCGTCGACAACTATAAAAACGTGCTGCGAGGCTCGAATAATCGTATCTTCTCTTCCCAAATTGTCCATTTTTGTGCGCAATCTGAGCGTCAGTTAGGGAGACATCACTGTACTTTTTTTTGACAATGCGTTTCCGATGTTAGATACGGTAAGTTCACCCTAATCGACGCTCGGCTTGGAAGCAAAAATGGACGATTTATATCTATCGTCGTGATTACGAAGAAAATGCTATGGCAAGGGGTTGATAATAATAATTAATATAATAAAATAATAAATAATCTAAAATAAAAATAATCTAAAAAATAATAATATAATAAATAATAATTAATCGTAATAAAAACATTCGACGCGTGCTTTTCAAATTTGCTTCGATCTACAGTCATTTCTCCCGGAAATTTACGGAGGTCCGAAGTGAAAAACCGGCAAATCCGAGAATACTAATTCGCGATTCTTCGGGCCTCGCGGCTCTTTTTTATAAAAACCCGGGATAAAAAAGGCACAAAAAGGCAGCGGCCGGCATGCCGGTGCACATTAATATGAATGCATAGCAATTTAGGCAAACTTAACCTTTTTATTTCTAATTTTTTGCCACGATTCGGAGACAATTCGAAGGCCACGCGTCATTTTTACATGTCATTTCCTGATCCAAATTAAGGTTGCTAGAACCATTTTTTTTGCAATCATTCTGAAACGCTTTGCATCGTTCTGGTAATTGCGTAGCAAGTTTCTCATTTCGTCTACACAAGGACTCGGAATAAACCGTGTTTCTTACCCCACGATTTTGAATAATGCGCACGCGTGTTCCGACAATAGAAGGAAACAGGTCTCCGTCGCAATCCATACGTAGACAGTGACGGCCAAGATCGTAGCCGCGAAAAAGCCGACGGCGTGGTTGTAAATTTTACGTCCAAGATGTTTGGCCAAGTAAGAGTAGAGAGAAAGCTGTGCCAGTCTTTCGGGTATATGGTACACGAAGTACGTCGGCGTTCTTATTATGATGAAAAACGAAGCGCTGAGTACTGAAATTAACAAACCATTAAACTCCATCGTTTTTTATGTTCTATCAGAAAACTCGAAGTCGATGATAAGACTCAATCGAAGTAGCTAATAGTTCTAACGATTCGTTAAAGATGGTAATAATTAGTATAATATAATAATTAGTATAATAATTGTTATTGCTAAATTATTGTGTCATTATTATTATATAATATTATTATATATTATATATTATATTATATTATAATATAATATTAATAATAATATTATATGATATTATAATATCAATAATAATATTATATAATATTATTATATATTATATATTATATTATAATATAATATTAATAATAATATTATATGATATTATAATATCAATAATAATATTATATAATATTATTATATATTATATATTATATTATAATATAATATTAATAATAATATTATATGATATTATAATATCAATAATAATATTATATAATATTATTATTATATTATTATTATTATATATATACTGTTAAATTATAGAAACTATAAAAAACGTATTTGCCTAGAAAATATTTGAATAACGTGTAAATAATATTTAACTGATATTTGAATAAATAGATAAATATACAATTGAATAGTCTTATAATTTCTCTATAATTTATAAACAAATACAGTTCAAACTCGGAATCGCGGTTGCGAGGTCCCCTCCCCTCCCCCACGTTGTGCGAATTCACTGTAAAATTCTACGCAAATTCTTCTATATATAATTCACATAAATATCCGCGCAGTCTAACGATCACCCATTATATTTCCATTATTCTGTCGTTCTTACATCCGATTCCTATAGTTAATGCACACACGCGGCTCGAATATTTACGTAATACTTCCGTGTCCTCCGTATTGTCCTTCATTAATTCCCAGTCGAGTCGAATCCCGGCGAACATTGTTCTAACCTGGATATCCGGAATACCATTTGAATGTCAAGATTGCGACGCAAAGGATATATAGTTATCGGTCGACTGCGGATTTTATGCATTTATGACAAAAAACGAATGGGAGCAATTCGAAACAGTGGACGAATTGAAATAATTGAAGAGCGTCGATATATTTATTTTCAACCGGTTGAAATGATATACGATGATGCTTGCAATAATTGCAAGAAATAATAATCTCTTTAATTATTTCTTGCAATTATTACACTTATTTCTTGCAATTGGTACAGACAATTTTTGATTTCGCATAAATATCCGCAGTTTCGAAAATGCTTAAAAGATTACTGCATAATTCTATCGTCTCTCTTATCTATTGTAAATTCTTTGCAACTTGTTGATACAAGCTTTT